CTGGGCTCACAGCTCCACTACATTTCACAACCTCCCTTGCAGTTAGGTGTATCATGTGATGAAATTTTTTGCCACTGGAATTTGAGCATTAGTATTGTCTACCACTTCCATGCCTGGTCTATAAAAATGTTTCACATGCACATCATCGTGATCTTTCCCCTTCTGGAAGGCTGTTTGATGATATGAAAACCATGTGTTAAAGATGGCAGAGCTGCCATCAGCTTTGTTCCTTAAATAACTGCATGGGAAGTAGCTGCCTGCCTGTCTTTAAAAACTGCCCTAAAAATGATGTAAGTGAGAAATAAACTTTATTTTTGAGTCATTACAAGCTAAGGTTTATTTTTATAGCAGGTTAGCCTATGCTAATGAATACAATAGCCATTTTTCCTCTCCCAATTCTTAATGGGAAAAATGGCTCTCTGCTGTCCTGTCCCAGGGAATCCCTCTGCCTGAACTCTGGACTCCAGCCCCACCCCAAGCCCTGTTTCATCAATTATTTACTCTCTCCTCTAGGTCTCAATTTATCCTCTCCTGGCTCTTTTCCCTCAGCACACAGACATGCTCATATCTCTTCTAACAACTATACAAAAAAAATCTTACATTACATGATCTGATATCCTCCTTGTCTAGAATTCTCTTTTCTCCTTCCTTTCATGCTCAAGGCTTTTTTCATCCTACTCTGTACCCCACTCACTCTATGACCTGGTCTCTGTCCCCACCACTGTTGCGAAACTGCTCCAGATTGGGCCCCAGTGACCTAACAGGCTATGGTCATATTTCATGTCTTATCTAACTTGGCATCTTGGCGTAGAAAGCTGTTCCTCCTCCTTCCTTGGTGATCTGTGACACTGAGCTCAGTGGTACTCCTCTTCCCCTCCAGCTGCTCCTTCTAAGTCTCCCTGACAGGTTACTTTTCCTCTGTCTTTGGTAAATGTGGATTCACCTTCTACCCTTATTTCTTCCCACTGCCTGTATATCTCTTTCTAAACAATTTTGTTATTGCCTGTGGCTTAAATGACCATTATTTATAGATGCTAATGCCACACATCCTTGAGCCTCGAACCTATATTACCAACTTCCTTCTAGATATTTCTATCTTTATGGCCCATAGGCACCTCAAACTTAATATGTCCAAACTGAATTCATCATCTTTCCCATTTCCAATAATGACTACTTTTATATTTTCTACTGAGGTGGATGGTAACAATTGCCCATGGGTAACAGTCATCCACTAACCCTCTGAGCTGACTTCCTTCACTATCCATTCATACCACTACCCTCTTCCAGAAGCTTAATTTGTATGCCCCGACCTGCCAACCCTCAACCTGGAACAGTCCAGTGCCTGCCTTCCCTGTCTCTACCCGCCGAGTGTATACTGTTCCCTAATGGAGAAAATCACACAGTGGTTGGTCCGGTGGTACTATATCCAGGCACTCAAGTAAGACACACGGGAGCAAGCCAACCTGGTCTCTCATTCCCCAGACTACTCTGGCTCCAAATCCTATTACATGTATCCACTGAACACCTCTACAATACATCTGTTCATCTCCTTTTCTTGCCCACTGCTGAGCTCAGACCTTTTTCATCACTTTCTTAGATCATCTCAGTCATTTCTGGACTATTCTTCCTGTGGGCAGCCTCACCTTCCTCCTCCAGCCTAAAGATTTGATATTGTCTCTTTCTTTGTTGATATTCATTTATGGGATTTTTTTTTTCTTTAGTGTCTTTTTCAAACTAAAAAGTAATATATTCTCATTGTAAAATAGTTTATTATAAGGCTATTTAAAAAAATTAAAGTCACCCCATATCCAGTCCTTAAATTTTACCCCCAAATACATATACACATAGTTTTTTCTAAAAATAGGATCTTATTACACATGCCATATTTCTCTATGCCATATTCTATTTTAGGAGGAACTTTTTTTTCATATTTTAACGTCTCTAAAATCACAATGTGTCATACAATCAATGGTTCTTAGGTTTGGTTACATACAGCATTGTTATACAATGTACTCTTTTTACTTATTAATATTAGTCATGATTCCAAACCAACACTTACTTCCAGGAGATCTTTCTAAAGTACAAATCCGGTCAGGTTGCTACCCTTGGGAAAATTCTTCCAAGCCGCCCGTGCCCCCAAAGCCCTTCATCTTCTGAATCCCATCTACTTTTTCCCTTTCCAGCACATTCACACACATCGTTTTCCTTAAAGCCGAACAGGCCAAGCAGATCTATTGGCAGTTCATTCCCCAAATAGCGATGGTAGGCCAGATCTTTGCCTTTGCACCAATGTTTTTTCTGCCTTAAAGCCTATTCTCACCTTTTTACTCAAAGTTAGCTCTTTGCTTTTTTTTTTTTTTTTTTTGAAACGGAGTCTTGCTCTGTTGCCCAGGCTGGAGTGCAATGGCGCGATCTCGGCTCACTGCAAGCTCTGCCTCCCGGGTTCACGCTATTCTCCTGCCTCAACCTCCCGAGTAGCTGGACTACAGGGGTCCGCCACCAGGCCCGGCTAATTTTTTGTATTTTTGGTAGAGACGGAGTTTCACTGTTAGCCAGGATAGTCTCAGTCTCCTGACCTCGTGATCCGCCCGTCTCGGCCTCCCGAAGTGCTGGGATTGCAGCTGTGAGCCTCCGCGCCCAGCCCCAAAGTTAGCTCTTACTGGAAAATTGTCCTGATCCCCCAAACTGAGCCTGAGTTCTTCCTTTATGCACCTCCTCTCAACTTCTCCAGTATGTGGTGCATGTCTCTGTTAAATCACTTAGCACTCAGGTTCATGCCATTTTTCTTGTTGCTGCTACTAAATAGAGAGAAATAGTGAGTTCTCAAATACACTTTCTTCTTTATACCCATTTCCAACAGTGTCAGGACAATGTAGGAGCTTCATAAATATTTTTGGAAATAATGAACTGTATATGCGGGAGGCAGGAAAATGCTCCCTGAGATAACATAAAGAGGTTTCTAATTAACCATCCCTTTATCCTGGGACAAGAGAAAGAGGAGAAGGTCTGGACACCAAAGTACCTGGGAATCCAGAAATCTAAGTCAATCAGATTTTTTTTTTCTTGTTGACTCCAATCCTATTAATTCCACCCTCAACTAAAAATAATCTGATTTCAACAACCGTATGCTTTGTAATCTCCCCTCACCTGGACCTCCACTTCCTTTCACTCTAGTCTTTCTACGTCCTTTGAGTCAAAACCTCAGTCCACATTATGGCTTTCTTTTGCAGCTAGCCCCTTATTTTCTAACCAGATGTTTTAAAAAGTAGCAAAGACAGATGCTTTCCACTTCCATTCTAAAATGCGCACTTAAGTCTTCCATTTGGTCTTCCTCCTGCCTTAGGTATGGACTCACCTTACTCAGTCCCAACAAGACTCTATACCAGCAAATAAATTCAAAAGAAAACTGAAGTTTAATACAAAACCTTAATTTTAATAACTATCCTAAAGGCTTGATGTTATGTAAAGACATCAGTGGAAACCACTATCCCTCTCTCAACCCAGTATTGGGTTTGGATCCTAGAAAATACCAAAAATAGACAAAAATGTTTCCAGTTCTTTTTTTCTGACCTAGATAATTTAACGCCAAAGATTCATTCCTAGAGAAGTACTAGGATATTTTGGGGGATTTAAAATCAAGCTCAGTTAATGTGGTCTATAGGGCAGTCACTAAGACTGGTCCATGCTAAAACATGTCTTTGTCAACAATTGTAGGGCCAACACACATACTTTCAATACTTTCTCTTGGTGAGAAGAATAGGAACTATGAATAATCAGAAATAGAAGAGCAAAAGGAAAAGTGAAAAGATGAAAAGAGTCCATGAAAAAAGAGAGGCAAATTACAGGGAAGGAGAAAATCAAGGTTTTTGAATGGGAAATACAGTGGATATAAGAGGATCTGAGAAATAAACATATTTCCTGTCAGTAGAGGCTGAAGGTAAACAAGGATGTCTTGTAACAGAAAGAAATGGGAAGGCCAAGTTAAAGAAAAGAATGAAAGAAGGCTTGGAACTAAAACAGGTAAAGAGATAATGACAGTGAAAACTATCTCAGGCATGTCAAGAGGACTGATAAGAAATACTGAGGGACATCCAGGATCTCACATCAAAGACAAAAGGGTCAACATGTAGAGAGAGAAAAAGGAAGAGGGATCCCAGCTGTTAGGGGGAAAACGTGCTGTTAAAGACAGCTCTAGTCTGCATTTTGAACCTTACATTCTGAAAGGAAGGACTTCACCAAGCCAACACAAAACACAACAAATCTCTGCTGTTCACAAATTTTAGAGTAAATAAAAGCAAACTAATGCTACACATCAAATACCTTAACTGGCGAGACATAATTCCTAGTTCATTTGAGCCGCCGGGGGCAAGAAGCTATCAAAGTGATTTTATTTTTCCAGCACCTTAATGTGAGACAAGTATGAAGGAAAGACAAATATGAAGGGAAAAGGCCCAAACCAGTATTGGCCAGCAGTAATTTTCAGAGTGATTTCTTTCTTCAATATAGACTTGGATGTATTTGGACCCCTTGGAGGGGGTGCCGGAGAAGCGGCCCAGAAAGTATTTCCATCTTAAGAAAAATTTAGTTTGGATGCAAAGTGAGTTTTGCGGACCTCAATACAGCCTCGAGAAATCTGAAATACTCCTCTACAGCGTTAATAAAGAAATATAAGTCAAATTGCCTGTTAACTTGCAGCTTCTCCTTCTCCCCCTTCGGCTTCAGCCTGAACTCATCAAAGCACCGGAGGACAGGAACGGACCTTCTATCGCTTTTGTTTCCTGCGTGGCGGAGACTTAGAAGAACGGCCGATCGCCTACCTGCCTTCCACTTCCCCGGCCGCAGAGCGGTTTGCTGCCGGCTGGGTTCGCCGCCAACCTCACCTACCGGTAGTCTCTCCGGTCTGACTCTTCTGGGATGGGTGGCGGGGGGTGGGGGAGACCTCAGGGGGCGGAGGGACACGAGGAGGCGGGCCTGGCCCTTCCCCCAGAGCCAGGGAGGAGGCGCAGCCAGGGCGCAGGTGAAACCGACTCGGCCCTATCCCGGGAACTTTCGCGGTGGGGACTCGTTGCGAGAGGCTAGAGTCGCGCAGGTGCTGCCTGGGAGCCGCCCTCTCTCACTGAGACTGCCACGGGGACTCAGCCCGGGGGCCACCCGCAGGGGACCCACGGACCTCCTGGCGCGCTCACTGGCAGTGGGCAGCGCTGGCCTCCGCTGCTGATGGGGGCGGCTAGTGCCGCCCCGGGCGCAGGTGACACTCGCCCGGCCAGGGTTTCCTCTGGCTGGGGAGAGCCCCGGGAGGGCGAGACGCAGACACCTCAGGGGCGGAGGACAAGGCAGCGATGGCCCGAGAGCTGAGCCAGGAGGCACTACTGGACTTTCTGTGCCAGGCTGGGGGCCGCGTGACCAACGCTGCCTTGCTGAGCCACTTCAAGAGCTTTCTCCGAGACCCTGACGCGTCCCCCAGCCAGCACCAGCACCGCCGCGAGCTCTTCAAGGGCTTCGTCAACTCGGTCGCCGCAGTGCGCCAGGACCCCGACGGCACCAAGTACGTGGTGCTCAAGAGGAGGTACAGGGACCTTTTAGGGGAGGAGGGGCTGCAGCGACCCCGCGAGCCGCCCGCGGCCCCCCACAGTGCAGGCGGAGCTGCGCCCTGCTCCCCGCGAGGCGCGCGCGGGGGGCAGTCGCCCCAGCAGCAGCCCAGGCGGCGGCGGCGCGAGAAGGAGCCGGAGGAGGAGCCAGCAGGTGCAGCAGCCAGAGCCGCCGACGCAGCTTGCAATGGACTCCCGGTCAGCGGCTCCCGCGCAGCACCCGGGAAGGGCGGCGGATCGAAGGGCAGTCCCGGACAGAGGGCGCCGGTGCCCGCAACTGCAGCGGCAGGGGCCCAGGCGGGAGCGAGGTGCGCGGCGGCGGGGGCACAGGGCCACTGCTGCTGGGAATGCCTCCAGAACAACCTGGCGGGGCTCCCGGGAGAGCTCGGCGCGCTCCCGGACTCCGCCACCGCCGAGGAGAAGCCTGCACGGGCTCTGCCTGCCCAGGATGGCCGCGGGGCTTCCAGGGAGCCGGAAGAAGGAGCGCTGGCTGAGCCCGCGCCTGTGCCTGCAACGCATCGCTCGCCTCTCGCCACCGTCGAGGCTGCGACGAGCAGGGCTTCCCCGCCTGCTCTCCTGCCCGGCCCCGCCCCACGCGGAGACCGGCCGGAGCTGCTGACCCCCAGCTCTCTGCATTATTCGACCCTGCAGCAGCAGCAGCAGCGCACTCGAGAGTGGGTGGCCAGGCACCCGCAGGTGCCGGAGGCCCGTGATCAGGGCCCTGTCCGCGCCTGGTCGGTGCTGCCAGACAACTTCCTCCAGCTGTCCTTGGAACCTGGCTCCACGGAGCCTAACTCAGAGCCGCCAGACCCCCGCCTTTCCTCGCACTCTCTCTTTCCTGTTGTTCCGGATGAGCCCTGGGAATCCTGGGCGGGGAACCCTTCATTGACTGTCTTTCGCAGCATTCGTTGTCAGCTGTCCCTCCAAGATCTGGATGACTTTGTGGACCAGGAGAGTCATGGCAGTGAGGAGAGCAGCAGCGGGCCCAAAGACTCACCAGGGGCTTCTGAAGAGGGGCTGCAGGTTGTCTTGGGAACCCCAGTTCGGGGGAAGCTCAGGAATCCAGCTGGGGGCCTTTCTGTATCTCGGAAGGAGGGCAGGCCCAGTTGGAGCCCTCAGGATCTCAGAAACAGAGGAGATGGTCACATCTCTCAGCAGGTTCCTGCGGGGGCTAATGGCCTTGCAGGTCACCCCCTGGAGCCTTTGCCTTGGCCAGTTCCTAAGTTAAGGAGGTCCCTCAGGAGGAGCTCTCTGGCAGGGAGAGCCAAATTGTCCTCCTCTGATGAGGAGTACCTTGATGAGGGCTTGCTGAAAAGAAGTCGGCGCCCACCTCGATCCAGGAAGCCCTCCAAGGCAGGAACAGCACCCAGCCCAAGGGTTGATGCAGCTTTATCACCAAAACTTGCAGAGGTTAAGGCTGTTGTGGCTGAGCGGGGTTGGCGACACAGCTTGTGGGCCCCCAGTGGGGAGGGGCCTGCAGCCTGGGCCCCCCACAGAACTTCTGAGCACAAATCATCCCTGGTTCCCCTAGATGCCAGGGAGCATGAGTGGATTGTGAAGCTTGCCAGTGGCTCCTGGATTCAGGTGTGGACTTTGTTCTGGGAGGACCCTCAACTGGCCTTGCACAAAGACTTTCTGACTGGGTACACTGCCTTGCACTGGATAGCCAAACATGGGGACCTCAGGGCTCTTCAGGACTTGGTCTCTGGAGCAAAGAAGGCAGGGATTGTCCTTGATGTAAATGTGAGGTCCAGTTGTGGATATACCCCGCTGCATCTTGCAGCCATTCACGGCCACCAGGGGGTCATCAAATTGCTAGTGCAAAGGTTGGCTTCTCGGGTAAATGTCAGGGACAGCAGTGGGAAGAAGCCATGGCAGTATCTAACCAGTAATACCTCTGGGGAAATATGGCAGCTGTTGGGAGCCCCTCGGGGCAAGCCCATTTTCCCTGTCTATCCCTTAGTTGGAAGTTCTTCCCCGACCAGAAAGGCCAAGAGCAAGGAAATATCTAGAAGTGTCACCCGAAAGACTTCCTTCGCTGCCCTACTCAAAAGTCAGCACAACAAGTGGAAACTGGCCAACCAGTATGAGAAATTCCCCAGTCCAAGGGAAAGAGAAGAGTACAGTGACTGAGGTGGGTCTCTCTGTCCAACACACAGGCAGCACACCCTCACCCTACTCAGTGAGAGAATTCAGGGGGAATAGAAAAGCTGCTGAGAGTTGGTAAAGAGGATGGTGGAGTGAGATGGCATTGACCTCCCTGGATCTTATGTCACTACATCCTGGACCTCAAGAGGGCCATCCAAGCTTTTTGAAAGCTGAAGGTCCTTGACTGGAGAAACCTAGACAAGGGGCAGGGCCAGGTGCTTGATATCTAGGAGGCATTCTTACTTTTCCCTTGCCACCATGGATCTGGGCACAGTAAGCCATATTGTTTCCCGAAGCAGGAGTCCCAGGCCTTGGCTAGAGAGGGAACAGATGTCTAACAAAAAGAGAAGCAATTCGAGGAATTGATGAAGCACATGCAAAATCCTCTCTGGCTAGCTCTCTGGCTTCTGTTCATTTGAAGAATAAATCTTGGCTGACACTGGGAAGCACCAGGTTTGAAATCAGATGGCTTTCTTTTTCTTTTTTTTTGGCATTTAAATCAGTGAAATAAAATTATTACTGGAGAGTAGAGTTCGATTTGAGAGATTCCTCAGCCCTGTTCCCAAGTCTTCTTTTGAACTCCTTGCATGGTGGTTAATGGGTAAAATGATTAATGCCTCCTTTGGGTCTTCTCACTGATCAAAGAAGTTGGGTAAGATCCAGTTATGACTTGGACTCCATTCCCAAGAGGAATGACTGTCATTCAGGCCCTGCTTTTTTGTATCAACCCAAAGGGAACTTTCCAAATGTAAAAACCATTTGGCTCATTTGCATAGTGACTGAAACCATCTTTCATGGAAACTCCCTGTGTAACAAACAGAATTATCATTACTAGTTTTCAGTAGGTTTGAATGGCCAACGTTTGTACTCATAAAAAGAGAGAAATGACTTTACTCTGGGGAAACAGTAAGGGTTAAGAGAATGCATCTTTACCAGGACTATCTAAGCTGCTAAATATAATTTTATTTGCACTAAAGTTGTTGCCAATTAAGATTAAATATTAGCCTTTAAGTACTCTATATCTAACATGAAATGCTCCTTTTTAATTGCTTTTGAAGGGACTGATAACTTGTGAGTTCATGGAGTGAGAGAATGTCTAGTCTATAAACATCAGTAGAACATCAAGATTTCAGAATAAGTTCAAAGAGGGCTGAAATACATGTTCAAGTGGAAATTGTTAATTTTTTATGGGAATGTTTTCATGACATGTGGCAATGATGCTGTATTTTAAGTCTTTTTGTGTTTCTTCTGGTTATTTTCCCCAATTAAAAGATTAATAGATCTTCATAATTTATTGTACTTATGCTGATTACTGTTTCTTTCTTTACAAAATTGTGTCTCAGCGAATGCCAAATATTATTTCTTTGATTTTTTACTTTATGATTTTGCTGAAATAAATATATCTCTTCTGCTAGAAAAATAAGCATAATAAATAAATCTAGGAGCTTTTTTCCCTAAAGACCTATATAAGCGATGAAACTTTGTCAAATCAAAGCAAGAAAAATGGTAACCACAGATGGGACACAGTTTGAAGAGATGAAAATTTGAAAGAATACATGATAGACAACTATGCAAATACTCTAGTAAACTAGTAAACATTGTAAACTACTAGTAAGCTAGTGATATTTCAAGGAAAAAATGTCAACTTTTAAAAAAATCCAATGACTGTTTTTACTTTAGCATATTGTTATTACTACATCAATTTATTCAACAGATGTGTTTTGTGTAGTGCTGTGGGATTTATAAAGGTGAGTGGGAGATGACCCCTCCCATCTTGAAATTTAAAATCTAACAATATTTATTGTTGATTGCTTTATACCCTAGCTTTTTTTTTTTTTTTTTTTTTTTGAGACAGAGTCTCAAAAAAAGTTGAGGCTGAAAGTTGCTCAGACTGAAAAGCAGTGATGTGATCCCCACTCACTGCAACCTTTGCCTACCAGGTTCAAGCAATTCTTCTGCCTTGACCTCCCATGTAGCTGGGATTACAGGCAACCACCACCACTCCCGGCTAATTTTTGTATTTTTGGTAGAGATGGGGTTTCACCATGTTGGCCAAGCTGGTCTCGAACTCCTGACCTTAAGTGATAAGTTGTATGTTTCAATATTCCCAAGGTGCTGGGATTACAGGCGTGAGCCACTGTGCCTGACCTGTACCTATCTTGCTCCCATGATGTCTTTTAAAGCTGCATTATATCAGAAAATAAGCTTGTAAAATGAGGCAAAGAGAAAAGAAAGATAGTACCAGAAATGAGGACAAACAGCAGCAATGCAAGAAAAAATTTTCAAAGTGTCATAAGTACAAAATACATGCTCTGGAGAGAGCACTTGTTTCAGGAGAGAGAGAGGGAGAGGGAAAGGGAGAGGGAGAGGGAGAGAAGGAGAAAGAAACAGAGAGAGAGAAGGAGAAACAGAGAGAGAGAAAAAAACAGAGAGAGAGAAAGAGAAACAGACAGAGAGAGATCCTTTCGGGCTGGAAAAATCAGGTAGGGCTTCATAGAGGCCAGGAATCTTTTAATTGAATGATACTAACTTTCCCAAGAAACCAGCTGTGTTAGTTCTACCACATTCTTGACTTCTGCTTCAGTGTGTGATTTACATAGCACTAGTGTGGCTGATTGTTCACTGGTTAGAACACAATCCTAAGTCTCAAGTTGATTCTTATGATGATTCATCATGTCCCTCATACCTGCCTCTGATCAACTCTTTTACATGGTCAATATGGTATGTTGGGGAGGAGTCAGGGGAGAAGAGGGTGTAGAGAGGTGATTAAAACACAGATCTGATCCTGACACCCTCTTACTCATGTTGTAAAGTCCAGGCCAGGAGGGATGCCAGGACTAGCATACTTTCCCAGATTTCTGCCAGCCACTCCCTGTCATGAACCCCAAACTTAAGCTACATCAGACCTATTGGGATGCTGGTGGCCCTAAACTCTCAGTTTCTGTCTTGTGCTGAATTTCTTTTACTTAGAAAACTCTTTTTGCTATTTTCCTGGTAATCTTATTCCTCAAAGGGTAGTTCAAATGTCATAGCCTATATGAAGATTCTAGGACAAACACCTCCAAGGTGGAAGCTGTATAGCTCCTTCATCAGAATTCTTATAATACTGTGTACATACCTCATTTACAATTTTTGCCACATAGTATTCAAGTAAATTGTATGTCTCAATATTCCCGAAGATTTTGGACATCTGGAGATTAGTGAATATGTTTTCAATTCATCTAGATTTCCAGATATTTATGGAGCATCTACTGTGTGATAAAGACACAATTCCTGCCTTCAAGAGCTCACAGTCTACTGGGAAGGAGATGTAAGGGTTGGGTCACTGAAAATTGCTTCTAGCACAGTGAGGTAAGTGCACAGATATGTGTGTGTGTCAAGACTCTGGGAATTCAGAGAAGGGGACGTTTATGAAGCATTTTCCATGTGCCAGTCTCTTTGGTTATGCTGGAAATACAACATTTAGTAGAATATACCTATTTCCTGCTCTGATGATGCTTTTCTGGATTGGGGAAGTCAGGAGGCAAAAAGGAAGTTAGATAAGCTCTGAAGGGTGAAGTGGAGAAAGAGTTCTGGAAGAATATCCCAGGAGAGGGCAGGGACCTGACCAAAGCCATAGAGTGATTTGAGGATACTGAGCCACATAATGTGGCAGAAGTGAGGCAGCGCAGAAAGACATGAAGCTAGAAAGGTCATTTAGGACTAGGTTGAAAGACGGGTCTTTCTGACCTCAGGAAATACAGGCATTTTCTAGGAAGCCAAGGATTGTGAAAACTCCTCCCAGAAAAACTTAGTGTTATTCCAAATCGAGATGTTTTCCTGAAGTCTTAATTTGAAGGCAAAAAATATATCAAAGTATTAGATTAAATGTGCTTAAAGTTTCTCTTTCAAAATTTTCTTAGGTCTTCAGTGTGGTTAATGCTTATTTGCTAGCACATAGTGGTAAGCAACAAAGTAAGTTAACAAATGGCAATTTCACTTTAAAAGCAAACATTAGAAATTGTTGATAAGCTTAGCTCAACACTTTTTTTTTTTTCATTTTAGCAGTTGTATGAAAGCTTGTATATAGATTCATTTATTCCTGTATCTTCTCAATTGTTTCTTTCTTGTATTTGCCCTTTTTCTTTCCTACTTGGCAAGATTTGACTTTCTGTTCATGGATTTTTTTTATGGTCTTTGTCTACTTTTAGGCTAGTGATAATCACTTTTCTGGGGTGAATGCCTACAGGGACAGTTGTACCATTAGCCTTTTGCTGCTGCACCCATTCAGTGTAGATGACATCTTTCTTCCTGTAAACCTTGAGTACGTTGCCAATTTGCTGACCTTTATAATGTCCTTGTACAGTCTGAACTTCATCATCCTTCCGGATGGTCATGGATCAAACATCATACTTCTGTCTTAGCTCTTTGGAAAGAGGGGAAGACATAATCTTCTTGCAAATGTAGGAAAGTGCATTGAAATGCCTTTTGCAGTTCTTGCTTCAGTTAGAAGTCACGAAAGCACTGAATTTCACTTTGGCCACTCTCGCTTCAGTGATGGATGCAAAAGTTGCTCAACACTTTTTGTTGTAGTCATAAAGTAGTGAATTTTAGTGTAATAAATGTACTGTAAATATTAAGTATATATACTGTAGTCTTATTTTATGATAGTAAAATTGCTTATAGTTCAACATTTCAGTGTGTTACACATAGCATGCTGTGAATTCCAGATGCCTTGATTCCTCTATACATTTTTGGGTTTTTTGAGGCAGGGTCTCACTTGGTAACCCAGGCTAGACTGCAGTGTTGCCATCATAGCTCACCGTAACTTCAAAGTCGTGGGCTCAAGAGATCCTCACACCTCAGCCTCTCTAGTAGCTGGGACTATAGGTATACACCACCAGACTCAGCTATTTTTTTTTTTTTTTTTTTTTTTGAGACAAGGTCTCTTTGTTACCTAGGCTATGTTGCCCAGGCTGGGTCTCAAACTCCTGGTCTCAGCTTCGCAAAGCACTGAGATTACATGTGTGAGCCACCACACCTGGCACCTGTACATCTTTTTTGTTGTTGTTGAGACATGGTGTCCCGCCGCCACCCAGGCTGGAGTGCAGTGACGCAATCTCAACTCACTGCAGTCTTGACCTCCCAGACTCAAGCCATCCTCCCATCTCAGCTTCTGGAGTAGCTGGAACTATAGGCACACACCGCTGCACCTAGCTAATTTTTTTATTTTTTTGTAGAGATGAAGTCTCACTATGTTGCCCAAGCTGGTCATGAACTCCTGAGCTTAAGCAATCTTCCAGCCTCAGCCTCCCAAAGTGCTGGGATTACAGATATGAGCCACCATGTCCAGCTCCCCCTATACATTTTTAAAAAGTAACTTTACACATATAATACAATTCACCTATTTTAAACGTACAATTCAATGATTTTTAGTATAATCACACTTATGCAACTATCACCACATTAAGTTCCTGTATAAATCTGAGAGCCACTGATCCAGGCAACAGGAAGCCATTGAAGGTTTAATGCAGGAGAGTGACATATAAGCTGGGGTGAAACAAAGATTCTTCTTGCTGCAGTAAAGAAGATAAACTAGAAGCAGAGATCAGTGAAACTATTGTATTATCTTAGTTTCATATTGGGAATATCAGGAATGTTGACTCAATAAGGTGTTATCCATTGGATTGGATGTATACAGTGAGGAAAAAACTTTGTTGGTGGGGCTGATTTAGTTGATAAGAATTGAGAATTAGGTAAGATGTAAAAGAGTTTCTCCATTTCTTCTCACCCTCAAAATACCCTGGTTTTGTCAATTTTTTTTTCTTTTTTTTGGCAAAGTCTCGTTCTGTTGCCCAGGCTGGAGTGCAGTGGCATGATCTCAACTCACTGCAACCTCCACCTTCCGGGTGCAACAATTCTCATGCCTCAGCCCCCTTAGTAACTGGGATTATAAGCGTGAGCCATCACACCTGGCTAATTTTTTTTTTTAAATTTTTTTTGAGACAGAGTCTTGCTCTATCGCCCAGGCTTGAGTGCAATCTTGACTCACTGCAACCTCGACCTCCCAAGTTCAAGCTATTCCCCTGTCTCAGCCTCTGGATTAGCTGGGATTACAGGCGTGTGCCACCACATCCAACTAATTTTAGGTTTTGTTTGTTTGTTTTTGTTTTTTGTTTTTTGAGATGGAGTTTCTCGTTGCCCAGGCTCCCTGCAACCTCCGCCTCCCAGGTTCAAGTGATTCTCCTGCCTCAGCCTTCCAAGTAGCTGGGATTACAGGCCCAGCTAATTTTTTGTATTTTTAGTAGAGACAGGGTTTCGCCATGTTGGCCAGGCTGGTCTCCAACTCCTGACCTCTGGTGATCCACCCGCCTCAACCTCCCAAAGTGCTAGGATTACAGGCGTGAGCCACCACACACCCAGCCCTAATTTTAGTATTTTTAGTAGATATGGGGTTTCACCATGTTGGCCAGGCTGATCTCAAACTCCTGACCTTAGGTGATCTGCCTGCCTCGGCCTCCCAAAGTGCTGGGATTACAGGCGTGAGCCATTGTGCCCGCCGTAATTTTTGTATTTTTAGTTGAGATGGGGCTTTGCCATGTTCACCAGACTGGTTTCGAATTCTTGGCCTCAAGAGATCCGCCTGCCTCGGCCTCCTAAAGTGCTGGATTACAGGTGTGAGCCATCATGTCTGGCCTGGTTTTGTAATCAAATTACTTCATTCCTGTCACGACCATCTAAGTTCATGGTGGCACTGAATCCAGAGTGTAAATTCAATCTCTGTACAAGCTGTTTTGCATAGCAGTGCTGCTGTGTACACTTGGGTTTTTCAACATCAAAACAAATTTAAAATGCTTAAGGAAAGGTTGATAATGTAAGTACGTAAGCTCATGGCAATGAAGCTAGATTGCCTGGCTCCTGTCCTGATTTGGACAAGACCTTCAACTTCTTAGTTTTGTCATTTGTAAGATGGAAATAATACCAATAGAAAATGGGTTTTCTGAGAGGATAAAATGAATTTATACCTGAACAAAGTTCATAGAAAATGTCTGGCACATAGTAGATCCTCAGTAAACATTTGGTATTATTATTTTTAACACCATTCAAAATAGACAGTCCACTTAAATTTCCATCTATGCAGAAAGCAAAGAAATCTAGTCGATTAAAAAGGTGCTGCTAAAAATTTATTGATACAGCTAAATAATTTTCATTATGCTTCCTTATAAGAAAGATGTCTGGGTTTCTCACTTCAAATGAAAAAGACTATTTAACTATCTCTTGTGTGTAACAATCATTAATTATTATGTCATTAAACAGAATTATGTCCAATTAAAGTCACATAAACTAATTCCAGTCAAGTTAGAAGCTCTGATGTTGTCTGGAACTGAAACTCAGACAGAGCTCTGAAGGAATCAGGCTTATGGAGAGGTGAGGGGTGTGTGTGTGTGTGTGTGTGTGTGTGTAATGCTACTATCACTCATGAATTGGAAAAATCTAACTGGAACCATGCAGTAAACTTTATCAAATTTCTACTAAATTTGGTCACAATGAAGTCACTGAGTTGGATTAAAAAGTATTGATCTGACTATTCCTCCTTCATGATGTGAAAATAACACTTCCTGATCTCTAGCTACCAAGCTTGACTCCTATTTTCTACTTTTTTTTGGGGGGAGGGTGGGGGGGTGGGGGTTGATCCTTTCATTTATTCAGACTTTACTCATCATCACATTCTGAGCCCCTTTCTGCGTCTACCTCAGCGTCCTCACACAACTCACAGGCTAGAGAGGACTTCAAAGTGTGATCACAGCACTGAGGGATCCCAAGTTAGGCAAAAGGGCCTGGGGGAGTGGTGAGGATCCAGCAGGGCCTCATAAAGAAGGTGACATCTGAGCTGGGTCTCCAAGAATGAGCCATCACTTAGCCAGGGCCTCTGTTTCCATATTGAATCATTGGAATACAATTTGCTGAATTCAACAGATTGATGACCTGGGCTCAGGTTAATTAGCTTTGTTTATGTTTTACTTTTGTTTTCTCTGTCTCCCCTGCTAGGCTATCATCCCACAAGAATGCAGACCTCTGCCTGCTTCACTCCCTGCTGTGCTTCCACATCTGGAGCATGCAGTAGGACCTCAGAGAATGTGTGCTGGAAGCGGGAACACTGATCGGAATTTGTCCTCTGAATGTGCCCACTCACGCTGCAGTGTCAGCTCCTTGAGGACAGCAATGTCATCAGGCCTGTTGATCCCTGAATCAGCACCTAGAAGGGTTTGGCACATGGTAGGTGCTCACTGACTGGCTGATTACAACAGGACACAGCAGCAGGCCTTGAAGCTGGGAGTGAACCCCAAATCCTACCTTCAAGCAGGAAGCCCTGCTCCTTTGTATTAGGCGTGAAATGGGGCCTGTGAAGGAGGCGGCAGGAGGGGGGGAAAATGCTGCCATGGGTTCTTGTGTACACAGAAGACAGTGGCATGGGAAGACGTGAGCAGGCATATGCAGGAAATGAACAGAGGACTAAGGCTCAACCCTGAACCTGCTCTCTTAGGTGTCACACACTCTCCCACTGGAAGCAGGTGAGCGGCTCCCAAGTTCCCTTGGAGATAGAGGCCACATGACCTCAACCTGGCCAATCAGCAGAGCCCATTCTCTTCAGCCATAGTGATTGGCTGAGGTCTGGGCACTTAACCAATCCCGTGCAGAAGGTCAGATCTCCAGGTTGGAACCCTGGGTGAAGAGAAGCTTAATTTCTGTTAGGTTGCTGGAGTGGTTGGTGCCATCTTGTCACCGTGAAGGGAAAGCCCACCCAAGAATGACACCAACATAGAGGGAAGTAAGCAGAGCCAAGAGGTTGGCAGAGGTGGTTCCTGGTGCCATTATCCAGCACCCAGCTACCGACCAGGTGAAGTTGGCCTTGCACATAGTCACTGGCACTGGAGTGACCCATAGGTCACACACAAAAGTCTGCAGAGCAACTCCAGCTGTGCTCTTTCGTTTTCACAATTAGCAACGTTTTTATAGGTAGCATTCTTGGTTTCCTAGTTAGGATTTGTAGCTAGAAGTTTACCATGCAGCAGGGCCTTACGACCATCTCTGCTGATGAGGAGACCCTTACTGATCATTATAGGCTCCTCGAGATCGTCAGCCAGGACAGCTTCACCAAGGTGAATGAAGTTCACCAAGTGCCTTCTCACTGGGACCAAGGTGGCTGTGGTCATCCCAAAAGGGCAGCAGAACTCCTCCCTCTAGAGTCTATTCCATGGGGTGACCCCAAGGTCATCAGGCTCTTTCGACACCACAGACACTTTGTTCTTAGCCATGGAGTATGCCAGCAGAGCAGAGCTGGTCCGCTACATCCTAGAGTTGGGTTACATGAAGGCAGAAGAGGCCTGAAGCAAATTCCAGCAGATAGTATCAGCCCTCTAGTACCACCAACAGAAGGGGGATATCCACAGGGACCTGAAGCCCAAGAATTTCCTTGTGGTCCATCACAACATAAAAATAACAGCCTTTGGATTTGATACCAGGTTCACCGTAGGCCAGAAGCTGGGCACCTTCGGTGGGAGTCCCTCTTATGTGGTCCTGAACTCTTCCATGGCCAAGCATATGATGGGCCCCAGTGGACATGTGAAGCTGGAAAGTCATTCTTTATACCACGGTAACCAGGGCCTGCCATTTATTGGGCAGACTTTGTGGAGCTGAGGAAGCTGATACTGTGTAAACAATTGTACAAGATCCCACTCTTCGCTCTCCATTTCCAGAGAGCTTCATCAACCTATTTTTGACTGCAGGGAGAGGCCTATACTAGACCACATCATGGAACACCTATGGATCAACACTGGTCAGGAGGAGACACGAAAGTCATTCCAGGAGCTGCTTTCTGATCACCAGGACTCCTGAAAGACAGAGCTCATGGTGTCCATGGGATATGAGGCAGACCACATCCAGTCCTTGTTAGAACAACAATTTGATGATACCATGGCCTGGTACTGAGTCCTGGGCTACAGGAAACTTGATGCAGGGCTCCATCATCAGAGTGAAGTCTTTGCCTTCAGTGGATCCCACCCAACAGTCACTAGCCTTTCCCACCACCTGAAAGAAACTCTTATGCTTTCACCTACAAAACTGGTTAAGAACATTGGGAAAACGTGCACAGTTCACATGTTCTTCATTTGTTCACCCTTAAGTGTCCAGTGTCTTGTCATTCATGCTGGTCTAAATATTGTGGGTTGACATAAAATTTGAGGTATAGTAAGGCCAACAGGTCAGGAAACGAGTATTGTGCAACTGAAAAGATAATTTGTTGCCCACAGTTCCCAAGAGGACGGGCACACAACATGCAGGACCACACAGGGAAGCACCAGTGGGGGTCACTAGGCAGAGGGATGGGGAGAGCTGTGGGCAAGAACCTTTGTTGTGCTTCCTTCTCGATTTTGCCCAGGAAAAGCTCCTTGGCAACAGCTTGGATGGGTGGACTGGTGAACAGCAGGTGCCAGCACATGGTGAATGCCACTGAAGGCTGACAGGAATGCACCTCCCTTAGGGTAGGCTGCAGGAGCCCAGTGCTTCTCATGCTACCCTGGTTGCTGTGGCCACTGCTGCCATTTCCTGCTCAGCACTTCAGCATCTGGTCTGTGCAGCCTGATGATGCCCTCTCTCTTCTACTTTTAAGACTTTTGTGTTTTGTAAAGGCCTTACTGTATGTAAATTAGTTCTCAATTTAAAAAGAAAATACCAAGACAAGTAAGGAGAAGTATTTTTCAAATGCCTATTGGGGCCAAAGCCGCGACTATTTTGAAAGTGTCTAGTTCTTCCATGTACTCTCTTTTCTTTCTTTCCTTCCCTTTTTCCTTTCCTTGTCTCCTTTTTAGAACAGTGAACACTCCCAAATCTAGCAAGTACTAGCAGGTATTTCTGTACCATCACTTTTTGAAAACTATAATTGTTAATCTTACAGGATTTGAAGGTTTTTGCTGTTTGTGTCCCAAAATACAATTAGCTTCTAGTGAATTCTTATCCTTTGGTGTCAACTAGGGAAACATTTCAGGGACATAAATATTGTGAACCAGGTGACATGCCACCATCCCACAATGGGTCTCACTGCCTAAGAGAATGGGCCAGTCATGATAGGGGTAAGACAAGGATTTCATTCTATGACCCTGCTAATGGGCCAGAAATAATCCCATTTTCTTAGTTATTTGAGGACTGAGAACTTCTCAAGACTTAGTGAATCACATGAGGGTGTTCAGATCAGAGTACAGTATTCAGACTTTCTGATTAAAACTGACTTTTAAAAGTGAGCAAAATGAGTATTCTGCACTGACAGCTTTGCCTGCACTAATGGTTCAGGGAGAGTCACGTGGATTTTTCTTCCTGGAAAGGGCCACAGGAATAGCCATGCCTTTACAGTGTTTGCATGTTGAGTGGATGTTCTTAGTTTTCCACCTAGTTTGACTCTAATAGGTTATATGGAAAATATATAACCTCTGTGAACCTTGATTTTTCTGTGGAAAGGAGAGAAGAGGAAAGAGAAAAACATACCAATAGTATCAAATCAGCCTCAGGTCTTCAGGGCAGACAGCACTAAAATACACAATATTACTAATGAGTAGCTATAAATGGGGGCTGGGGGAGAACAGAAGGCTGATTTTGCTTTATCTGTAGGCCCTATATTCTCACAATAATGACTTTAACTCTGGACTCCTAGGGGGCCATATTAACTAAGTAATGTTTCATAGAAATGTGTAATTAACCTATCTGTGGAGGCTCTTTCCATGAATTATGGAAAGATCACAAAATATTGCCCTGGTTTTCTTGGGCAAGATTCCTGATACCCATCAAAAATTCTTGGGAAAGCTGAGTCTAGAACTACTTTTCAAATTTTGGGTGTACACATATCTTTCAGGAGCAGTGTGTCTATTATGGATGATCTTACACAAGCATTTTCTCTTCTGATCTTTGTTCTTATTAGCTAATTGTAAAATTCAATCAGGAACTGACAAAGGGGTTGAAACCCAAGTTTACTTGCTACTTGTTAGAATCTTTGAATTATTTGAGGTTTTAATCATCAGTATTGTATTAGTCCGTTCTTACACTGCTATAAAGAACTACCTGAGACTGGGTAATTTATGAATAAAAGAGATTTAATTGATTCACAGTTCTGCAGGCTGTATAGTAAGCATGGCTGAGAGGCCTCAGGAAACTTAAAATCATGGTGGAAGGCAAAGGGGAAACAAACACATCTTAACCATGGCAGACCAGGAGAGAGGGAGAGAGAGGAAGTGCCACACACTTTTAAACCATCAGATCTGGTGAAAACTCACTATCATGAAAACAGCAACCGGGAAGTCCACCCCCATGATTCAATCACTTCTCATCGGGCCTCTCCTCCAACACACGGGGATTACAATTCGAGATGAAATTTGCATGGGGACACACAGCCAAACCATATCAAGTGTTACTGGTATTTTATATCACTCCATTCCACCCACGCACCCCCAGCCTCCAAACACACACATATACTGTAGCATAGATAATAAATAATTGAATTGTAGCTATACTCTTTTTTTTTTTTTTTGAGACCGAGTCTCGCTCTGTCGCCCTGTCTGGAGTGCAGTGGCCGGATCTCAGCTCACTGCAAGCTCCGCCTTCCGGGTTTACGCCATTCTCCTGCCTCAGCCTTCTGAGCAGCCGGGACTACAGGCGCCCGCCACCTCGCCCAGCTAGTTTTTTTTTGTTTTGTTTTGTTTTTTTGTTTTTTTTTTGTTTTTTAGTAGAGACAGGGTTTCACCGGTTTAGCCAGGATGGTCTCGATCTCCTGACCCCGCGATCCGCCCGTCTCGGCCTCCCAAAGTGCTGGGACCACAGGCTTGAGCCACCGCGCCCAGTAGCTATACTCTTATGCCATAACATGTGTTTATTTAAGATGTGTCTTAGATTTTCAGTAAAGGAAAGTATCTGCATGTGGTCGCTAACTCTGAGACCACTAAAATTCCGAATCCTGCGAACAGCCTGTGATTCTTTGAGAAGGGAAAAGGATTAATCCCCTGGCCACAGGGCAAAGACAAAAACATCTGCATGCAGAAGTTGTATTAGGTGTCACCTGACCATAACCTTATGTCCTTGTTTGTGTCACCTGTGGTCTCTTCTTGTGGTCTCTTGGGTTTTCCTACTAAAAGCTTCCTCGAGGCCACCTGGAGAAGCAGAATGGCACAGCAGGTGGAGTAGTATCAACTGGTGATCTCAGCATTCTGGACACAGGCAGGGCTCTTCAGGCTGCCCTTATTAATGTTTTCCCTGTTATTGTGGTACATTTCTGACTCAAATTCAGTTTTGGAGGCTTTTGTGAGGTACTTCCTCAGGTTCAAAACTCCTTATGTCTTTATTCATTTGAATTGAGTAAAAGAAAATCCTTATTCCTTATAAATTGAAAGCCACAGCATTTAGATACTGGCTTATGATGGAAGTTATGGAGGTTGGTGTTCCTAAAAGGAAATAGAAAGCTAATATGGGGAGAAGCAAATAAGTATTTTGTGTTGTGAGAAGGTACCATGTAAATACTGCCATTATCTGATAGGTTTAGGAAATGGATTATTTTGATGAACAAATTATTTGAGTTGAAAGGAATTTCTCACATATGTTTTACATGATGAACAGTTGTAAGAAAATTTAAAAACTACAATGAAATATACTCAGCACTAAACACAAATAATTTATGTGTCTCAAAAAACAATGAAAGATTCCTAAGTGCTCTGTGCTTATTTTATTTCAGGTGCACAAAACTACAGTCAGTTGATAAAGGTTGTGTTTTTACAAATTTTACATCTATTTTTGCATCTTGAAGAATTTTATAGTTATACAACTAATACATGTTCATTATAAAGAAAAATCAATAACACAGATAAAGAAAAAGAAGAAAAAATCTGTCCCTAATTTTGCTACCTTGAACAATCACTGATAATATTTTGTTGTATATATACACTTTCAAAACTTAAAACCAAAACCATCTTGTACATAATTGCCAACCTATTTTATTGTTTGATATATCACTATTTTTTTTTCCGTTTGAACTGGAATTCTATACTGAATTCCAGATAAAGTTTAGGTCTTTAGATGACTAAAAGTGGAGCAGTTGAGAAATTATTTGTAGACCAGGCTTTTGCTTCAATGCCATTTCCCTTCTCTGCAGTCTATGGGCAAGGTCCTGAATGAGTTAAGTTTTAAATTATTTTAAAAATCATTATTAGCATTCATTTGACTTGAAGCCATAAATTTTCTTTTGTTTTTAACCAGCTTCTTTGTCCAGTGTTCTGGGTGCATGACTTTTAAGGCAGGCGGCTCCTCCTCCAGGAAACTGGTTGCCTGTTCCCACCCATAGCAGGAAGACAAGAGGGAACTCCCAGCTGTGACCAACCATCTCTCACCTGTAGCTTTTCTGTTTGTTTGTGGGGCAAAGGAGACATTGAGACAGGTGTGGGCCAGTTATGATTTAGGAATGTTTACTATGCTTGATTGCACCATAAAAGGGTCTAGATCTACCAGTACTTTTACTCTTCTTAAAAGCTAAGGAGAGACTATATTAAAAGTACTTTATTTAACATAAGGCTAGGGAAGGAAACATAGAAATCTAAAATATACATTTTTTTTTTCCTGGTCATAGAGATCTTTTAGTTAAAGTATTGTCTGAAGGTGAAGATTGGTGCCAGTTTTACTTTTCAATAAATTTTTTTAGCAATTAAAACATTTTCTCAGAAGATATAACCTAATGAGTAACAGATTTTAAGCATTTCCAATCCCATATATTCCTTTTTAACTTTTGATTGCATAAGTCTAATCAGCATGCATATTTTATTTTACCTTCTACTATTTTATTTAACAGCATATCCCATATATTAAAATAATTTTCCTTTTTTACATTTTTTATAGCCAGAAGGTCTACCGTGATTAATATATTGTAGTTTGTTTAGCTATTTCTTTACTCTTTGACATTGAGTCATTTCTCACTATTACAAATACTGTAGTACGATATATCTTTTTTTCTCAAATTACAATAGCAGCAAGAAGATATAAATATCTTGTAAAAATAATTACGAGGTTCTTTTATTTCTTGGCTATTTTCCCAGCTGCAGTTTTATAGCTTTTGTTACATTTACCAACTTGTACTTTGGAAAAATTTAATCATGTTAAAGTGCCACCAGCAAGCATGTCTCTTTAAAGCCATACTAAGAGTGGGTTTTATGTTATTTGCTCATTTTAATGGGTATGCAGAGCAGCTTTTACATTGAGTTGCATATCTATTTGTTTCTAGTGAAACTGTCTTGTTGTATTTTTTTAAAGTCCTTACTGCCACACACCATAAATGTAATACTGTAATTGCTAGTTATTTATTGCCATGTAACAAATTACCTCAGAGCTTCACAGTTTAAAAAAAAAAAAAAGTGAGACATGGCTGGGCGCAGTGGCTCACGCCTGTAATCCCAGCACTTTGGGAGGCCGAGGCGGGTGGATCATGAGGTCAGGAGTTCGAGACCAGCCTGGCCAACACTGTGAAACCCCGTCTCTACTAAAAATACAAAAATCAGCTGGACATGGTGGTACCCGCCTGTAATCTCAGCTACTCAGTAGGCTGAGGCAGGAGAATTGCTTGAACCAGGGAGGTGGAGGTTGCAGTGAGCTGAGATTGCGCCACTGCACTCCAGCCTGGGGGGCAGAGCCAGACTCCACCTCAGGAAAAAAAAAAAAAAAGTGAAACACTTATCATCTCATAGTTTCTATAAGTCAGGGACAGCTTAGCTGAGCAGTTTTGGCTCAGGGACTCTCGTGAGGTGGTAGTCAAGACGTCAGCCATGGCTGCAGTCATCTGAACGCTTGCCTGGGTCTGAAGTGTGGTTCTCAGATGGCTCACCCACATGACTCTTGGTAAAGGCCTCAGTTCCCCTCTAGAGGGCTGACTGAATGTCCTCACCATTTAGTGTCTTGGCAGCTGGCTTCTCTCAGAAATGATCCAAGCAAAAGAGCAAGGAGGAAGCCATGGCATCTTTTATAATGTAGTCGTGGAAGTCACACGCAATCACTTCTGTGGCTCATTAATCCAACCCACACTCAAGTGGAGGAGAAGAAGCTCCAGCTCTTGAAAGGACTATCAAAGACTTTTGAACACATTGTGAAACCATCTCATGTACTAATTCATATAAACAACAGTGGAAAATCAGCCTCTCTTGACCTTTCTTTGTTTCTGGCATGGTTGATGTTTCGTTACTAACTAGAAGTGTGGGAGCACTTGTAGAAGAGCCACTTT